TGTGTGTGTTCAGGGTCATGGGCCCAGACGGTGCCCCGGGTCAGGCGGTGCCCTGGCGGAAGGTCCTGTGGGAGCGGCAGTCGTTCCCAGATAACTACGTGGACCAGCGCTTCCTGGAGGAGCTGCGCAGGAACGAGGGCATCCGGCACTACCGCTACTGGGCGGTGGTAAAAGAGGCGGGCTTCGTGGGACAGCAGCTGTCCTGTGTGGCCATTTTTATCACCTTCTGGCTCTACATGGAGCAGGTGACGCTTCTGGGACGTCTGCTGCCTTTGCAAACACGAGGTGTTTGATTAACCTGAGCTCCCTCCGTCTCTCACAGGGTCTGCTGGCTCCCCAGGCGTTGCTGTGGAGCAGCCTCCTCTGCGCCCTGCTGGGTTACGGCCTGCACCGGGCCCTCACCTCCGGAGGCCAGCCGTGCGGCGAGCCCCGCACGCGCCTGGCCGATTTACAGAGCGCCGCCATTTTCCTCTCCTTCACCTTTGGTTTCTCGCCAGTCCTCAAGACACTGACCGAGTCCGTGAGCACGGACACGGTGTACGCCATGTCCGCCGTGATGCTGCTGGCCCACCTGCTGTCCTTCCCTTACTCGCAGCCCTCCCCCCCGGGCAGCCTCTCGCTGAACGCGGCGCTGTTTGCCTCGGTGTGCTTGGCCTCCAGGCTGCCCGGCGCCCTGCACACCTTCGCCATGCTGAGCTGCGCCCTGCTGGTGTTCGCCCTGTGGCCCTGTCTGCTGCAGAGGATGAGGGACAACGCCCCCGGCCACTTCCCGGGGGTGTGCGTGGGAGTGTGCGTGGGGGGCGTGGCGGGCCTGGGCTCCCAGACGCTGGGGGGAGCCGTGCTGCTGTCGTCGGCCCTGGTGAGCGTGACGCTGCTCTGCCCCCTGCTGCTCGTCTGGCTGCAGAGGCACAAGGACAACATCCAGGGACCCTGGGATGAGGCCGAGATTCACGAGGATCTAAGCCGTTTCCTTCACTAATGGGCACGAGGACTGGCACCAGAACGCACAGGTCAACAGAGAAGTTTCTGACCGCTTATTGAATGACAGTGTAGTTTTGTGGATGACGGACATGTTATAATACAAACTTTTGCTGACTGGACAGCTATAAGAAGCTGTTTCAGATTCTTCTTTTTTTTCCATCAAGTTTTTCAAGCAGAAAATGCTTACGGATGCTTTTAATGTTAATGCTGCTACTGTTTTGTACTGTAAGGACTGACTCTTGAATTTGTATCGTGGGTTTGAAATAATCTGCAGGGCCTAACCAACACTGATGAACGCACATAACGCTATGCACCAGTTTGATATCAGTGATGATCTCGGGGGATGTTCTGTTTTTTATGGGGGATTGGTTTTTGTATGTATACAGTAACTGTAAATGTATTAATATAAACAAGGGTTTTTGATTCTAAGGGGGCATTTACTTTTCTTTTTTTTTTCCAGAAAGGCCACTATGACACATAATATACTTTTGACTGCCTTTGGCATTTTAAATATGGTACTTTTTCATTGGTCTTTTTAAAAATGTATATGATGGATTTATTATTTATTTGAGCGATGTAGTACTCCACAGCTAGGTTCGACTGAGGTTTGTAATAACCAGACACGGAAGAGCACACAAACTCTAGGCAGAGACATTAGTTTTTAGCTAATTAAAAACTGTTATGGTGAGTGAACCCCTTTAAAAAGAGTGCAGATGTGTTTTTATTAATATTACCTGGTTTTAGCGCGATTAAACTACCGTCTTTAGCTAGTGTCAAATACTGGCGCGTTCCCACTGTTTTTGTTTATTTTTAATTTTCGACTGAATAAGTTAAATAACAACACGGGGATACGTTTAGGCTTCACACACATTTGTGGAATTCGACGTTAATTTACGAAACCACGCCTCGAGAAACGAGCACAACTTCCACTATCGGTACACTGAAAACCACCACATCACCGGTTACTATCGACATGTTACCGGAGAGCGTAGAAACAGCCGAGCTGGCAACAGTGTGCTGTGGTCGCTAGGTGTCATACCTTCAACTCTGTTCTCCTCTGCCTGGCTGGAACCGCCGGCTTTGCCGCTGGTTTTGACAGCCGCCGTGGCGCCATGGTTTGAAAACAGGACGAATAAGGCCCGACTTTAACACGAAGGTTCAATCGAGCCCTGTTGTACTGAATAACGTCCTCCGCGCCGTGCAGAACCTCAAAAAGATTGTGTCGCGATAATAACACGTCACGAACTTTATGGGGTTAAAGTGATTTTGGTCATCCCCGTTAATCCTTGTCAGTCCCTTTAATATTCATATGTTCTTTTGAAACGGAAATTTGAAAACAGTATTTAGAATTACAAAATGTGAAACCTCAAAACTGAAAAAGTTGTTTTTTTCTGTTGTCTAAACAATATTGAGAAATCAGGAAGCCTTGAAAAATATAACACTAGTTTATTCGCAAACAGTAAAAACAGTGCATGTGTTCTCTCGTTTATAAGAAAAAAAAATCAAAGGTAAAATTTTTATTTATACAAAACTCAGGCTCCTGACAGAAATGGGCAGACAGTCGCTCACATTCCAGCATTTATAGCCAGTCATATTATGTACAAAACAGGCTCAGCACGGAGTGAATTTTGCAGACAGCAGCTCCCAGAAGAGACAAGAGAGAAGCCCAGGAAAGTGCTTCAGCTGGATTACACATCACTCAGGTCATGTGTGTCTCTGGGTAGTGGTCAGCTGGAGCTGATGGGACCACAGGGGCAGATGGATAGAGAAGCTCTATGGAAAGATTCATTTCACACTTGGGATTGCAGGGGGCTGACGCCTAAAGTGAAGATCACAAAAAGAATATTACTGATTTGTTTTCATCTCATATAGATATGACCTGAAAGCCTGAAATAAAGGCATGTCTACTATAGCCTTTCTCAAAATCAACATCTTAACTTTGGAACCCTGTACCTTTAGTCTGAAGATGTCTTTTTTTGTGTCAGATCCCCAATCATCGTAATAATAAGGGAAATAAAGATTCAAGATGTGTAATAAATCAAAAGAAAGCCTGTGTTTCCAAAACTGCTCCAAATATCGAAAAGAAACAGCCAATGACAATGACAAACCAAATGATGACCCCAATTGAGAGAGACAGGAAACGTCAAACTGATGAAAACACCACAACATGAAAGCAGGAGTAATCAGATCGAAACTAGTCAACATGTGGAACTGCCAGGTTTTATGTAGGTTCCTTGCACATTTTTCATGAACAAATCTTTTGTTCTGTTTACCCATTATGTGTAACACAAGGCACGGCCAGTAATTAGCGTTAATAGGTAAAGAGATGAGAATAACTTATAAAAGAACAACAGCCTTCTAGAGGTAGCATCGTGTATAGTTTATCTATAGGAAAAGTAAGAAACCACAAGGTTGGATAGAAAAAAATCAAGAAAAGGGAGACTGAATGCGGGAAAGAACCTAAGAAACCATTGGAGAGCACAGAGGAAATGAGGCAGTGAGAAAAATGAGAGACAGGCCAAAAGCAGGGGAGGAACCAGTGAGAGAGGAGAAGTGAAGAAAAAGTACCAGAAAACGGCATTTGGGGGGAAAGAGAAAAATAACGGTTACTGCATGAGGGAAACTGAGAACGGCAATAAAACAAATGCATGCTTGAAGAAAGAGAGGAGGGGGGGTAAGGACTAATGTAAAGATGAAAACTTGACAAAGCTCTCAGCCTGTTGTTTCTGGCTACAGTAGAAAGCTACACAGGGAGAACTCCTGTCTACTGAGGCTGGTGGGAAGGGGAATATGAGAAACACATTTTTCCAGCAGACCCCCACCCAGCTCAAATATCAACTCTCTACTTTGTGCCTCTACAGACGAACGGGTGATTATGCATTTGTGGGACTCTGTAGCCGAATGCCAGACCAGGAGGTAGCACTGGTCAGAGAGGTCACATTTAAGGCCTAGTTTCTATGGTATCTAGGTCACCTTGGTACACTGGTCGTGGCCCGGTTTTGTTGACTAGTTAGCAGCTGATAGCCATCAGGGAAGGCTTTGTGTCCACTGTTAGGCACCCGAGGAACAGGAGGAGCATGGTAACGAATCCCCGGCTTTCCTCCGGTCACCAAGTTTTTAGAGAAACTTGAGCTGGGGAGACAAGAGACAGTTAAGTGACATCTCTCCCTATCACAGATTTATTCCCCCCACCCCGCTGCCCGTACGTAAAGCCGTGTGCGGCGCTGCACCTTGAAGGCAGTATCCAGGAAGAGTCCACGGGTGGAGGAAGAGGTGTGGTGCAGGTAGAGGTGGAGATGTCTCCAATGATGGCGAGCGCCTCCTTCAGGGCAGCGTGTTTGCGGAGCACTTCCTCCCGGTGCTGCTGCTGCTCCGGTGACTCATCCATCAGAGCTGAGCATTCCCCCAGAGCGTAGAGCTGCGCCAAGAGCTCAGCGCTTATGAACTCCTTCACCTACAGAGGGGATTCGTACTGCTGTGACAAGTTTAACCGAAGACAAAAGTTCTATTTTACCAGCACTCTGACTGAACTGTTCAAACTTTGGCTTTTTTTTTTTAAATTTTACCACATGATTAAATCAGTTTTCAAATCCTGTATACATGCATGTAGGACAAAGAGGTACAATTAACCAGAGATAAGTTTAACCGGAAAAGTTCAAACAAAAAGACAAGGAGGAAAAGAGAAGCTTTTGCTGAAGTCCAGGGGACGTTTTAGTTTTAGTAAATAAGTAAATAAGTTTTAGGCTTAATAGAGGAGTCTCTGAGCTTACACTATTGATCATGAGATGCATAATGGTCTTCGGCATTAAATCCCTGATGGTCTTATAGATGATGTTCATATAGGAGTCAACCAGGTTACGTATTATCTCCACCTGGCGCTCCAGCTGAGGATCTGTGAAGTTTTCAGGTCTGCTTCCCTGCCCCTCCACCTACGAAACAAACAGAGAAGCTGGAATATTCTCTGTAAGGTACATACAGCACACAGATCACAGACAGAGTTTACCTCCTCTCTAAACAATGTTAACCTATTGCAATGCGAATGGAGAACAACAGGGCTTGTAAGTTTGTGAGGCGTGTGTGTAGTGCCTTGTCGTGTCATCTATAGTGTCTATGGTGAGATTAAATAGATTTGATGGGATGAGGACGGGAAAAGAAGAATAGAGGGAACACAAAAAAGGGAGGCAAGGAAAAGTGGGCAGAAGTAAGAAAAGGGGGAGAGGGTGAGGGATGGGGAACTGCTGATTAGAAACAGACTATAACACACACACACATACACATGCATTGCAGTGACATCACGGGCCAAGAATGTGGGCTAAAGAGCCAACGACAGAGAGGGATGGAAGGGGTGGGGGACTTGCTTTTTCACTTTGGCAGGGGAGAGAAGGGGGAACATGGAGAGAGAGGGGTGCGAGGTTACGACCAGAGTTTGAGGTTAGCAAAGGCAACGGGTTCATGTGGCACGAAGGTAGGCTACAAGCAGGTGCAGGCCTCCAAACCGTGCTAAGGTCGGGTTTGGATTTAATTAGGTTGAATTAGGGGTTAAAATACTGACAGTGACTCTCTCTGGGTAGACTCCGGCCCGTAGCAAAGATGCCTTCCAGCTGTCCAACTCCTCCTGAGTGTTACAGGCCAGCTCCAGGCATTTGTAGTCTTTATACACGTTCCTGCAATTTATTACAACCCATAGGATGTTTTCAAAACTACACATTGCAAACAGTATATGAACACAATCCATGAGGTCATTTATGCTGTTATATTAAAATAGTTCTATCCATCAAATGTCTTTACAAATGTATTTTAAGACGGGTTACAGGGGGGCTGGAGCCTATCCCAGCTGTCATAGGGCGAGAGGTCATTACAAATATTTTATGAATACATTGATAATCTAACCAGAATCACCTAAATCATCTGTTTTCAGTTAAGGTGAAATACCCATTTGTACCACAGAGCGAATTTGTGTTCCAAATACATTGAAGTCATTTTCACCCTCATGTGTAACATCCAAACATTTTTAAAGTACTGTTTTGTATTTACACTAGAATTTAGTTGTTGTTTTTTGTTGCATTTGCACATAATTTTGTGACTGTTGTTTTACATGGCAAATGTAATTAGAATGAACAGCTATACTTCATAATTCAACTTTTACTGCAGGATAGTGCACTGAGAGTTTCAAGCATTTTTTTAATCCGTTCAAGCCAGCCCACAAGGGGAAATCTTTTTTATTGCAGTGTCAATTATGATCCAAGAAATGCTACTGCTAGATATAAATAACAAAATATCAAATCAGTAAAAAAACAAAAACCGCTGAGAGATATTTAGTGATTGTGGCAGAGAGGGCTGTATCAGAAACCTGCAGCAATAACCATGAATTGGCTAGAGTATTCATGTGTTAAAGTCTAACCCGTGCTCCATCACTTCATTTTAAACACACAGATGGAATGGAGGCCATTGGATTTAATGTAAACTCACACAATTATTTAGAAAAAAATTATACATATAAATATTTTCATAGGCTTCTCAGAACAAAATCAAACGTGCTGTAATCAAACGCAAACACAAACAATAGAAGCCACAGCTATCAGATGGACTGGGATATTTATACTGATTTCTCCTCTGACCTGAGACTTTCTTCTCTACACAATTTTTTTAAAAATCTGCTCCTCTTTTCCTTTGACTTTGCTTTTACATCCCAGTTCCGTCCGTATAACCATCCCCATGCTGTGAAAACAGCACTGCAAAGTGAGACATAAGCAAAGGCTTTGGAGCAGGCCCATCTGTTAGACATTTTTCTTTAATCACTCAGTTGTTGTGTTGTTCCCTTCTCACATTCTGAACACACAGCAATTAACCTCAAGTATGCAAAAGCCTTGTGTGAGAAACCATGAAGATAGAGAGAAAAAAAACAGATATATATACTGTAGCCAAAGTGAGTTATATGGAGGGATCAAGAAATATGCTCTCAGTTCGTGTGCTGATGAGTGGTCTAGGATGGGTGAGGCTAATAAGTCAGGGCGTGGTGCCTAACAGACATGGAGCAAGGCCAACCATGACAATACTGAAGTGCTATTACTCTACAATCAAGACGTACATGGTGCTAAACACAGTGAAAATGTTCTTTGCCCTGAATTATTACTTAGCTCACAGGTAATCTTTTCTACCTTTATCCAATCATCAGCTAATATCTGATGTGTTGCCTTTTCACCATCTAGAGGAATTTCTGCGGAGCTCAGACTGCTCCAGATTTGAAGTTTCCTGAGGTTTTTGATTACTGTCAGACAGGGACAAAGCCAGAGTGCCCCCTCTCTCCCTCCTCCACACACAAACACAGAAAGAGAAACAGAGAGCATGAGGGCGCAGGAAAGGGGGTTGGGGGTGGAGGGGCGCCACAGGACTGACTTTGACACATTCCTGGCCGATGGCTCTGATGCTCTCTCTCCCGCTTTTTTCTCCTCTCAACTCTTCCAATTCTTCTCTCTCCCTCCTTTTTGTGGTGAGTCGAGCAATTCTTTCCAAACAAGAGCAGCCTCATCTCTGATCCAAGGTCTCTGGCTTTGATTAGCCGCTTAATGAGCCTGCCGTTGGTATGCTGTGGTCTATACGCGCACTCTTTGCAAAGGCACATACATGCATTTGCAAACGCATGCATGCACTCACAAATCTGGTTTGTATGTCCAACTGCTGAACGGCATAGAATTATAAACAAAACCCACATGCTTGGTACAATCATCCTGGCTTTGGGTCAGCTCCAGCTTCTAAACACCCTTGGCCTTTTTCCTCTCGTGCTCTTGCTTTGTCTCTCTGTTTCACACATGTTGACCCGGCGCACTCAAACACTGCCCTGCCCTAAGGAGCCTGGCATTTTTTTTCCGTGACCCACTGGATATCCTTTCAGTTCAGATGGCAAAGTTGAATGGAAGAGGGTCAGAAGAAAGGCAAAACATCATTCTGACATCTCCTCCCTTTCCTCAACTGAAATATCCACCCTTGTAAAATATCACAAAACCTTCAGCAAGCAGGTGACAAGAGCTGAACTCCCTTTTCTGACGCACTCGCCAAACAGATACAGGCATTAAAAATACACAGACTCGCACACAAACCTTAACTCTGTGTTGAAGATAGCAAAGACAAATTTGCTGGACATGAAGCCCTTTTCCACATCTCTGAGCTTTAAGTTGTCCAGAGGAAGCATGTACTTCTTCTCCTTCTCCTGGAAAAGACAGAGTAAAGAGAGATAAAAATTTGACAGAGGTATGCAGGATAAAATATTATATCACAGAGAGACAGCAGCAGTGTTGATAGCAAGAAACAACTGAGACTGAGGCCAGTTCACTTGGGGGCTAAAGATAAAAAGTCGTGTCTGGTAGTAAATAATTTTCAGCCTGCGTGCCTAGAGTAGAATGAAGGGCCAAGAAACTTGAACCGTAGTGGGAAAAGTTTCAGAGGGCGAGGTCAGGCAAGCAGGACATGTAGACCACTGCACCAGAGGAGCCTCTGCGTTCATATAAGATGTTTTGGCCTGTCACCGAGTTTTATATTAACAACCAAGCCACCGGTGAAAGAGAGCGAAGGGAGAAGGGAGAGATACGGGCAAAAAGATGCCATACGTTTATTGTCTGTCGTCACCATGGGGACCTATGAATGACCGAGAACAGTTGGAGGAGTGGAGAGACCGATGTGAGGACGACCTGACTGTATGGAGGCAGGGCACAGGAGTGAAGCAGACTGGAAGTCAATGTGAGATGCAATTCAAAAAAGAAAAAAGCACACAAAAAAGGCAGATAGAAGCCGGGCCCACATGTGAAAGTCATTACTCAGAGTCAAGCTCTAACACAACATTTCTCCTAAAGCACGGCCCTTCCCCCTTGTCTCCCTTACCCAGCCTGCTCCCTCTGACTAACCTTTGGGAAGAGGCCTTCCAGAAAGATTAGTAATAGGAACAGCCACTGATGTAATAAAGAGAATTATGGCTTTGAAAAATCTTGTATGCAAGAAATCTTTTATGCACTATAGACCTCATATGCGCCCATTTTCTGCAAGTGCATACATATGGGATGCAATGAGACAGTCGATTTAAATCTTTCCTTTCACATTGCTCCCCCAAACCCTTCGACTTTCTTGCTTTGCTCTCCTTTCCCTTTTTTCCAAAGAGGCCCACTTCCTGTAACAGACATAAAAAAAAAAATGACAGAACGCGATTGGCGCTCACACAGCAACATCTGGGATCGCTTTATACGGAGGAGGAGGAGACTGGAGTGAGCATAGGGTACTCGGATGGAGTAGAAATAGAAAGTAGAGATGAGAAACAGAGAAAGAGGAGGGAAAGAGGTGGATAGAGGAATAGAGGGAGGTGAAATTGCAAATGTACTCAAGGAAACTTTGAGGAACAAGAGAGTGTGCAGTAGAAATGGGGAGAAACTCCAGACCAGTCCAAAAGTTGATTCCCCATGGGTCCCATCAACCCATATATGGCTGCTAAGTTCCTCCCTAACCCTCTCTCCTTCTCTCACTCCCCTTATTTCCTTATGCCTTCCCTGAGTGGACAGGCAGATCCCTAGCTAAATGCGTGAATGTGCCACGTCAAGACTGGATACTACACCGGGAGACAGCCCTGCGGCCAGCCAACCAAAGCTACACTGACATCTCTACGGGAGGGACGGCCATTGGAGTGGATGTCTGATGTGCATGTTGACTGCTAACACAGCGACCAAGCCTTGACTCCGGATAACGGAAAAGAACTGAATATCAGAGGAACCCTTTTGCCAACTCCTGTCCACATCAGGCGAGACGCAGCTAGCAAACGGCCAGAGATGGAGAAGCCAAGTCTGAAGAGAAGAGCAAGTCAAAAAGGGTCCTGCTCCGTCATCCCAGTGTTCAGACTACCTGTTCAGGATCTTTCTGGTGTACAGTAGTCTGCACATTGGTTAGACTGTGCATGGAAGTGCCTCAGCAGACCACATCTGCTCACGTACCGGACTCAGGACAACATGGAAACTCGCGTGTTCCCTGAGCTGAGACAAATATAGGGTCTTGTATTCTCTCGCCTTTGTTGTGCAAATGTCTTTGAATGTGCATTCACTTTCAGGAGCATTCATTTCTCCAATCACCGTTATCAACTTTACATTGAGTCAAGAAATGTCTCGTCAAATTTGCAGCCGTTTTACTCTTGAATCGAGTGTTTTTGTCAAGATCGAGTAAATGTTTTTTTGAGGGATGAGCATGTGAATGTTATATTAGCCAATTTTCAGTCTAAAACTTGGAAAACGACAAAAGATCAAAATATCTATTCAGCTGAGCATGGTCTACATGCAGTTACTCTATAGAATCCTGATGCTCAACATATTTCATGTGGCTTAGTCTTTTGAATCTGTGTGGCAATGTGATAGCCTCTGCATTCACAAACACAGTGGCACTGCTTTTTATAAGTATGTTTGCATATGTGTCTGCATGCTTCTGTGTGTCCAATTTTCAGCCATGTCAGGGTGGTTGTGAAGCATCACACATCAGGGTGCCCCCCTCTTTCTGAAGACTAATGGATTTGAGATATGGAACAGGCCTCACACGTGCACGCACACAGAGGAGTGCATGCAGATTGAGTCTATAGGCATGAGCCGTCTGCTTTTCTTCAGCCTGCTTGGTGGAGCTCTGGCAGTTGAGGGGTGAAGGAATGTATGTCTGCTCAGTGTGTTGTGTAGATCAAACTCTGCACGCTCAGTATGAGGTCAGTGCAGGGGACCAATAGTTTGGTGCATAGGAAGCAGATGTATTGCACAGCCTCAAAGCTTAAAAACTGAATGTATGGAAATAATCGACGAGGCACGGGGGAGGAAAGCTTGGAGGAATAGATCATGGGGATGAGGAGGGGGAGGTTGAGAGAGACGCTGTGGAGGAGTTAGAAGATGGAGGGGGGGGAGGTCTGCAGTGTAGAAACAGCCATGTGGGATTTCTCTGAGCAGATCTTGGACGCTGGTGTTTGGACAAAGCTTTAGATTTTCCAGCCAGGAATGTGCACAGTCCCAGGGAGACTGCCAACCGCAAAAAGGGGGAGAAAAAGAAAGAGGGCGAGACAGACAGAGAGAGGCAAGAGAAAGGAGGAGTAAAAGGCAACAGAGGCAGAAGGAATAGAAAAGGGGGCAGCAGTCAAAGAAAAAAGACATGTCTGTGGAGGTAGTGTGGGCGGGGAATTATGAGAGCGGGAACTGTGAGAGAGAAGAAGCAGAAGCTTGGCTAGTGTGACTGTGTGTGTGTGTGTGTGTGTGCGTGTGTGTGCTGTAGATATGATCTCCTGTGATAACACCCTTGACCGACAATGTACTCAAGCCTTCCAAACACAAACAACTGATAAACTTCATACCAGCGTGAGGATGCAAAGAATAACCAATGGCCAATTTAATTTAACAGGAATTAAGTCAGTTGATAAGCTTTAGATGGAAATACTCTCATGGTAAAGCACAAATGACTAACTGTGAGCTGCACGCATCTAGATTTAGTTGTCATGATGTGACTGAAAGACATTTGTCTGCGTGTTTCCTCATTGTTTCAAGCTGATTTTCCATGTTTGTGTGCAGGAGTGACTTTGTCTGTAAATGCTTAATAAGTGGACAGCAATAGGAAACCGCCAACAGTGTATTTGTACAATATGCATGCCTGGGGATGTGTCTAGAACATTGCGTTCAAGCGATCCAGTGTTTATCTGAAAAGTGACCATGTGCCTGTGTGAGTGAGTGTATATTTTTCTCAGCTATTTGCATGTCACTTTGTTTACATCGGAGCCTGCATGAGCAGTGTAGACTGTATATACAACTCTGTTCACTGTATGTGTTTGCCTGAGCATGTGTGTGCGTCTTAGTTTGGCTTGGGGGAGCTCCAGCTGTGTCAGAGTGAGCCGCCCCAAATGCCTCAACTCCCAGAAGAGGAAAGAAAAGGAGGAGTAAGGGGGAAGAGAGAGGCGAGAGCAGGAGGAAGAGGAGAGGGGGTGTCAGAGGAATGAATCGGGGGAAAGGGTGGGGGTGAGTTGCAGGTCCAGGTGGTAAGAGAGAAAAGTTGTGCATGTCACGCAGTCAGAGTATTTCCACAAATATGATGATGCCACCTTGTTTAGTTTAATATGGCTCAAAAACTGTTTTAGTGGACCAAATATTTCAGCCAGCGATTCCATTAGCATGTTTCCTCAGCAACATCAACATCACAAAGATCTCTTAATCATTTTCTTTGTTTTCACTGAGATCTGAATATTTACACTTGTTCTTTGTATCCATATACAACTGCTGCATTTTTCCCCCACTTCTGATTTCCATGCCGATACTTGGTCTTTCCCTCCTCCAACATCAGCTGTGACCGGATGAGACTGTTGTGGTGTGTCTGCCTGTCTACACTTGCTGTGCAGACCTTCTGCTCCTGTACAGCAGGCACAGACAGGCAGACAGATGGCAGCCCCACTGACATCAGAAAAGCACCCATACCCTCTTTAATAAAACGACAGGTGCTTATTTAAGCTCCCAGTACAATATGATACGAATGTTTTAGTGCCAAGTCTACCAATTAACATGCTGTTTCAAGCTGTGAATTGTTTTAATAAATTTGGGAAGATCAGTCTGGACCACTGTGTCTTTGTTTCACTACTTTCACTCTTACTCCGAGACCATCAGGCCAGTCCTTATTCTTTGTGGTCTTCATAAGTGTGAACAATCAGATCTAAATAGGTAATAAAGGGATGTCAGGTCCTCACCTCTTCATCTTTATACCAGGATAGGCTTTCTGCAGAGAGGATGAACCAGTAGTCCTTGGCTCCACCTTTCATGATGCCAATGTTGCTGATCGTCATCCAGCCTTTGCGTATGACCTGCACAATGACCAGGAATAAAAAAACTATGATTAAACACTGACAGGAAGGGCATAGAAGTACTGAGAAGATAGGTCTGTAGGATGCTATACCTCCTATGATAGTGAGGGAAAAAGATGTTAAACCTTTTTCACCTGAGTGACTAAGCATTGAACATAAGTGATCAAAGATAACATTCAATTATCAGGTAAGAGACAACACATTAGGCATAAACCCAAGAGTAGCGACATCACATTTTGAGAAAAACAGGATGGAAGGGATCAGGCAGTGTTGACAGCCAAAGCACTGTAGAGGAAAGATGTGTAATGAGTCAGGCCTCAGGAAATAAGACATAATGCCAAGATATGACATATACATCCTGGAAATAAGTAGATTTAAAAAGAACATCTGAACATATATACAGATCAGAGGATCTGTAAAAAATAAAGAGTATTAGGTCAGGGCAGAAAATGCACTGTGGACAAGACAAAGGAGGTGTGTGACATAAGCAACAAGTCCGTTGCAAGTGAAGAAGAATATGATTTGTAAAGCCACATAAGCCAGAGTGGACATGGGCTCCTGTCAGTGGCATGCCAACCCACAACCCCTAAGCTTGAATCCTGTGCACGCGTTGTCAGAAAAAGGCAGCAGTAAGAGAAAGCGTTAAGAGACTTGTGTCCTACTATTAGACTTGACAGATGGGCCCCACCCTGGAGAGAACAGGAGATGAAGCAGCAACATTAACATCAAGTTCATTTTTACCCACAAAATAGGATCTCTATGATGATACTCATCTTTTACAAATGAACTTTTAGAAAAGCAGCAAAAGTGACTGCAGAAATAACTGATGTTAATTAGAATTTTTCTAAGCTGTGGTTGCAAAGTACTGCTGTTCCAACATCATCTGAATCATACATCAAAGCCACTGACGTAACGCAATCACTCTGGAACACTGCTTTTATTATCCCTACTTTCATATAAATGTGCTACACATAAATCAAAACTGACTTTTCTTTTTTTTGTGTGTGAAAAGCCAAAAACAATAATAGTTGCATTAATCGAACCCAAATCCGTCTCAGTAACTTCACAAAAGATTTATCAGCAGCTATAAACGCAGATGAATGCTAACTAATGATTAACAAATGGTAAAGTGGTGTAACTGTAAAAGGTTCATGCCCTTTCACACTGCTCTCAATATCCCTTTATACATTTTTGGTCACAGCTGTGCACAAATTTGCAGGTTTATATGTTTCTAACGTAAGTGCAAACACAATTCCAATTAGTAGATACAAGAAGAAGTCATCACCAGCATGCGATTTTGGCTTCAAGTTAATGGTGCAACCTTACCTGGTTCCCTGCAATCCGCACAACAGTCTTCACATTGCTTTGACTCTGCACCTGCTGGCAACTGAGAGGGAGTCAGAACAAATACTGTTTACGGTTAGCAAGTTACAGTTTCATACAATAGTACAATTTTAATTCATCCTAAAAGTAATGATTTTGCTTACTTAGTAAAACCAACAAAGTCCTCGTGTTTGGTATTTATGTAGGCGAGCTGGATGTCAATAAGCAACAAGACCTGAATAGTGGAAAGAAAAAAAACACAGAACAGCTTCACAATGGAGCAGAATTATCTACAGCTATTTTCTTAAATGTACTGTGCGAATGTGTGTGAGCGACCTGGTCCCTGCATTTACTCTCTGTCTCTCTTATCTGAGTGATAACAATCGTCTCCGTCTGCTCTCGCAGTTTGGGAAAGGAGCTGAGCTGTGAAGAGAACAACAGTGGAAAATTGCACACAAGACGGCCTTTACACTGTGTGAATAAACGGTGAAGGCCAGAAGGTCTACATGACACGAGCCTTTTCATACCTTGCTGATACAGTGGGTCACTGTAGCAATTAGCTCTTGACTGACCATGTCGATAACTTTAATACACGGCCCTTTGAGACTTGATATCTGTTTCTTCACTATGGTTTCAAAGGCCATATCAGGAGTGAATAACCCTGTCCTGTGGGAGACAAACATGACATTTTTAAAAATTGTGTGAGAGTAGAGTAAAAGAACTTGACGCTAATACTCCAAACTCTGAACTGCACCTGACACCGTGTATGTTTCTGATGGCATAGTTGATCTCCCTCCGCAGCTTCCTCTCATCAGACTCAATCTTAAGAAATTAGAAGTCAGAGTAGGGGGCTTAGAGAGGGCTTAAAGTGCTAATCTATTGCAATAAGCTAGGTAAACACAAGTCAAACAGAACTGATGTACAAAAATCAAATATAGAATCGCACAAACCTTTACTAGCTCATATGGGAAGCGCTCGTGGAATATTTTATTAATCCGTGCACCCCCTGACAGATTAGCTGTGTCTATTTTGTCACCAGAGCCCTCAATCAGTTTCTCAAAGTCAACAGCCAAGCGTTGAACTAACCTGGAGGTAAAAATCATTCAAATTAGTATAAAAAACAAATATATACCCCAAATCTTGAGTTCACACAAACACAGAATGACTGACTGACTGTAGCAGTGTCTTGGTCCTCCTTGCAGGATCGTCGGGAATATACTGTCTGTACTCCTCAGCCTCTTTACTCAAAACTAGAAGTTGGCTCTGGAGATGACTACGGAAGGCTGGCAGTTTCTCCCGAATGTGATTTGTCAGTTGCTGCAAATAAAAACTGTCAGTGCATGCCCATTGCAAAGTTAAAACCCATGGTGAGGGGTATGTGTTTTTCTTTAAACCTGATTAAGTGTCCTTTGTAAATATGGGGTCCCCATCTGATCAGCCATGTGTTTGTAGGCTGGATGGGACAGGAAGAACTTCTTCTCTGACTCCAGAGCTGCCTTAATGTCTTTTTTGCCATCGATGTCCTTCTGACTGCGGTTCACCACTCCTATGTAGCCTTTAAAGAAAGATTTAAAAGGGAAACAGACAACATGTGATCACTGCCAGCTTCACTAACCAAAAGCAGCAAGAAAAAAGGAGAGAAGCCTTTTATGCTACCTTTCTTAGGTTAAGACTGAAGCCTACAGTACAAGCAGGAAATGTGTGTTTCTGCAGCAGCAGAACCTGTTGCATGAAGGGAACTAACAGTAAAACGCTACAACACTGGACTCTGCATCTAGTACTTGAGCTCAGAGCTGCTACTGGGGCAGTTGTATCAGCGCTCTTCCATGGTTAATCCATTTGCACTGCAAGAGAAGCATGAAGGACCCTGCACCTGGTCCTGTTTTGCCCAGTCTGTGTATTTCCCCGGGAACCCTCTGGGTTTACTTTTTCCAGGCCTGTCTCTTTTCGTCTCCGTCTCTTACAATACACACACACACACACACAGCACAAACCTTTTCCCACCAATAGGATGGCTAGTGCCTATTAGGCCCAGACCCTTTTTAGACTTCTCACATCATTCTTTTACCCAAACCAGTGCTATCAATAATAAAATTCCTTGTCCTTTATTTCTTACATATGTACACAAACATAAAGGCGCACAGGCAGACATGTACTCAGTGGCACATTAGCAAAGCCATGTTCAGTATTCAGCCAGCTGTGCATTGGCTGAGAGGGGTTTCTGGTAGGTGATAAAAGACAAAGTCACCCTGTCGGTCCTCTCTAACAGACTCTTTTAGTGCTAGTTTCTCACAGTAGCCTCAACCCATTCACACAAAGCCAGCACACCTCTGCGTAGGGGAAGCAACCTGTTCTCTAGTATTTCTCGAGCATCCGTTCCTTCATCCATCAGGTCCAGTTTTGTGATTACACCAATTGTGCGCTGACCTAAAAAAAAGATTAGAGCATTTTTGTCCACATAAACTCCTGTTCAGTATTTTATTTAATAGCTTTGTTAAATGTTTTACTGCCTTTTAGTTTGTTACTGCATGACGGTATGACACTGTGACTATCATCCTCTGCAAATATACTGCTTACCTTGAGGGTCAACATCTTTGGCCAGTTTAAGAGCATCAGAATTTGCCAAGTCAGTGTTAGCAGGTGTGACAGCCAGAATGATGCAGTTTTCCTTACAGATATAATGCATGATAATATCTCGTATCTGGTACTCAATGTCTGCCGGCTGGTCCCCAACAGGCACTTTAGTGATTCCAGGCAAGTCCACAAGAGTTAGGTTCAACACTGCAAACACAGAAATAAACACACAGGAACCGTAGCTGTCAGACAAATCTACACAAAGCGGAGAGGACATGTCGTAGGAAACATAATTTGTTACCATTTGGGGAGTAAATACGTAGGGTGATGGGAACAGGAGATATGCCTTTATTGGATCCTGTGAGTCTTCGCGTCTCTGCCTCAATCTCTTTGCAGATTGCGTCGAAATCAGTGAACTTCTTTTCTTTGCAGTGTAAGAACTCACCATATTCTAGCAAAGCATACAAAGTAGGAACTGAAAGATTCATACAGTGATCATAATTTTGTTAGAATATTCAGTGTCTTCATTCAGTTGTTTGTCATTTCAAAGGCAAAAACAGTGGGACACATTACACTGATAAAATTTATTTTTATACTCCAGCTCTTAGATCTTGGCTGTCATGCTGCCACCTTGTGGTGGCTTTGAACAAACACTACAAAATTAAAAGTGAATTTTAATAGCATTATTACCTGTGTTTGAATTTAACAGCTGGAGGATTAAAGGCCTACGGGTGACAATTCCTGAACCCCGTGGAAGGAAGTCTCTGGTGGGCAAAAAAGATAGCTTCATTGGGAAACAATACAAACAAACACACACACACACATATAAAAAAGACAAAACCCGCGGCAATAAGTCTAGTGTTAACCTAAACCATGTACATGTCAAAATGATATAAATATATGAAATGTAAATATTCCAAATAAAAAGCCGATAAGCGTATGTGGAAAGAAAACGCATAGGGGGAAAAATAACCCTCCTCTTTCCTATTAAAATCCCATTCAGGAAGTTTGTTTTATTACATCCTGCCTCAGATGAAACTGCTGGTGGAGTCAACAATCATCTAAAAAAACGGCCTCAGTGAGACAATGGGCAGAGTTACGTGATGAAAATCTCAACATACATACAGATCCACAAGCTTAGTCTCATCCCACACCAAACTATCTTAAATGCCTTTAGATTTAATAAAAATACGCTGTATTCACTACTAAACCGAATTATGTTGAGAACCTTAGCATTTCTTAAAAGTCTAAGAAAGGCCCAGGACAACAAAGCCTTGTTCAGCTCGGTCTAACTGCATATCTAGTCAGCTGAAAAGAATTTAGACTCTTTTGTGCCTCAGGGTGTCATGCCAGCTTCAGTCCCTCTGAAACCTACAGGGCTTATCTGTAAGATAAACCGCTGCTCTGATTACTGTCACACGATCACTGCCACGTCCGGCATCTGCTGCTTCAGACCAGAACATAGTTATAACATAGATACTTGAAGATGCCACAATACTGATAGAAAATTTTAGGTTGCACAAAGTTGTGTTTCACTTCAGGAAATATTGAGCATGTTCTGATAACTGGGTCACAGACTTTTCTTTTTCTTTCTTTATTTTTGTTTGTGCTGTGCAATCACTGCACAACACCCATATTACTGTAGAAATAAGAGCCTCAATTCCTAATATTGCAAGATCATCCATTAAAGTAACTCATAGCTTAGAACCAGAAAGGAACATATGATTTTATGAGGTTTTGGCACAGTGTGTCATTCAAAGTATTAAGTGGCTTTGAGTGACTTAATTTTGTGTATCCTGTGTTTAATCTTATTATGTCCATGTCAAATAAGGGATAATCATGTCTAACTGAACGTTCATACAGAACATGACTAAAATGCATTCAGGGGACTTTTTTTTCTTTTGCACAGTAAAACTCAACGCAACAGAATTTCCCAGAACAGAAAAAATCAGCATCCGTGGCGAGAAGGTACTTTCTGCACTTCAGAGTTGAATGCATGCGGCTTACCTGCCCACAAAGTTTTCCAGCACGGAGCTCTTGCCCGCACTCTGGCCGCCCACCACGGCGATCTGGGGCAGGTGGAGGCTGCAGCTCTGCCCCACGTCGCACAGCGCATCTTGGAGGCGGTTGACCAGCGGGATCAGGTCCTCCATCCCGGGGTTGCCCATCGCAACGGGGGCCACTATCTGCCCAGCCCCCTTTCGCTATCGTTTTCCTCCGTCTCTAATCTCCACTAGTCAAACGGGTAACCATCATATTTGGTGGCAACTTACCTACCCCGCTACCATGACTTGAGTTTCAAAGGAGAGGAACTTCAGAAAGGGCTCTTCGTGAGGGTCGCTGCTTACTTTTGAAAGTCCGAAAACTTCACCAGCCGTTAGCGCTTCAGAGTGCGCGAGCCGTGCTACGACGAAAGCGCCCGGAGTTGCTCTCAGAGAGCACAATTCCTCCGAAAAACCACACAGAAGGCATTTTTCCTCTTTTAAGACTCCGGGTGCGTATAGTGCGCAGTTTAACTTAAACCGTGGAGACTTTTCATACACTCGCCGCAGTGCTGAATTTGCTCCACGGACAGTAGGAAAACATTCTGCTTTGACAGCTAACGGATTGACGATGACTGCGCATGCGCATCCATGGGCAAGTCAGAAAGTTGGTTCACCCCACCCCACCCCACCCACTACCCCCATAAACAGAAGACAGACAAGCTTAACGGCCAATTACCGGACATCCAAAATGCACTTACTCCTTTGGCCAAAGTCTATTTTAGATCTCACACATCAAGTGTGGGTAGGGCGTCCCAACAGTCCCCATAAACTCTGCAACCAGAGCCAGAGACTGTATCTGAGAGAGTGTATCATCTACTGTAAATAACGCTGTTGCATTCTTTTCCTGTGAGGGTGTGTACATAGTGCTATGCATTCGGAAGGCAAATCACAGGCATATAAAAGGAAAACCAAAAGCATTATTTAATAGCGATGTGATGTATTAATAATAGCAATAATATTACATTATTTGAAGTTTCCTAGTGCACTTGTGTATGAGTATACACATGCCATGCTATCTTTACATTGCTCTGAATGGAAAGCGAAAGCACTCATTCTGAAACATATAGTCTCACACAGTCAAGACCCAACACGTCTCTGGCCCGCCCAATTTCAATTCAACTTTTACTCTACTTTCAGTTCTTTTAGTAGCTCTGCAACGTCTATGTGAGGCCTCCGGTGGGGTTCAGTCCTGTTAGAGCACAACGCACTCTGCAGACTATTCGCTGCTTGGCTCAAGGCTGGAAGGAAAATGGTAGCATCCTTTTCTTCACGAGAGCAAAGAAGAACTTCATTGATCTCCTCGGGTATCTTTTGAGAAAAGACAGTCGGAAACACACCGCTCACACGCTCAAGGACTTTGGTTCTCAGGGTTGGGTCACGGCACACAAGGTTAAGGATAAAAAGGCCTAGGAGGACGAGATGAGGGAGCGTATCATTTGAAGGAATTAAAACACAACTCCAACAAAACAAAAGTACAACATACTTGCAGTTGAAAAAAGTAAGGAGTTTAGGAGCAATTATTTACCTTTGTGGGACAGCAAGTTACAAACTTTCTGCAGCATAGAGATTTCTACAAAGGCAGCAGGGGGACAGCTCATTCCCAAAGAGCTGTCTTTGTTGTCTACATCAAACATGATGACATCAAACAATCGACCGCCTATGGAAAAAGAAATTGTTTGTGACCACTTTTGTTGTTACTTTGGTCAAACTGTGCAGCTCATCACTGACCTTCTCTCTCCAACGCGCAGATGTGTTCAAGGCCGTCCCCGAGAGTTACATTCAAACGCTCGTCTGGCCGAAAGCCAAACCACTCCTTTGCAACTTCCAGTACTTCGGGGTCTAGTTCCAAAACCTCAACCGTCACGTTGGGCACAAAGTCCCGCAGGAATTGAGGCAGTCCTCCTCCACCAAGCCCCACCAAGAGCACCGACACTGGGACGTCTGAGCAGGGAAAATTGTGAGGAATAAGTCAATATATGCAGGCAAAGAATTTTCATTTCTTGTGTAGAATTATAAAACTGCTACAAACAATTTGCTTGGTAAGCTCTGCTACTTTAATGCCACGTACGTATAAATTCACAAAAGCGCACACACCTTTGTTTTGAGGCATCCCCACTCCAAGAAGAGCGAGCCCGGCCACCATGACCTCATGGTGAGCACAGCAGAGGAAGCCACTGTCCACTGACAGAGGCGCTGCGGCTCCAGCAGAGGTTGCTTTTGCCTTCTTTTTGTTTTTCTTTTTGTGACTCGATGCTGCACAAACACGAATATGAATTGATTCAACTTCTTTACATTGTCAGAAAAGTATATAGATATCAGTTTAACCAAATGCACAGCTGCCTTTGTTTTTTTTGTTGAATCTTTGACTGAAAACATTCTGCAAAATTTCTCAAATATTTGACATAAAACCAGATCAGGATGAAGGAAGAGGAGGTGGCTATTCATCTCCATATGCATTAAACGTTATCTACAGCAAAACCAGGTGAAATCAGGACTGGTTACCATGATAAAAGTTTAATGGCTATACAACCACAGAACAATTTTTTTTTAAGTTAACTTCTTTTCAGTGGCTGGCATCTCAGACCATGTTGTGTTTCCTTCGCAATGAATAGGATGAAAAAACACCTGATGATAAGGAAGCTTCTACAATAAACTAATTAAAGAAATCAGAAGCAGAAAAATCTGCCTGTTGATGCTATTGCTGTTAGAAAAAAAAGCTGAGTAAAAACATTACTAAACTTAACAGAAATAGGGAGTAAAAAGAAATCACCAGCATTCGATGAGACTAGGCGGCTCTCTGATTGGACGAGGGCGATGTTGGACAGAAACACCAGCCTGCGGTACAGTTCTCCATCTTCTCCCCTGACATTCTCCACACAGTACTCCCCACTGAGCTGACTCACACCTCTGCTGACCTCCTCTCGCCAACCAAGATCGCCTCCCACTGATAGAAACGGGACCTTGTGGGGACAGGAAGTTCAAACTGAGATGCAACATCTTTTCTGTTTTACAAAGCACCTTCAAACAAAAAATGCTGAGATTGTTTACCTGTTGATTGGCTAGCATGCCTGGGGGAGCCAAATCCATTACCACCGGCGAGAGCTCTGACTGGACTGCTTGCATGTCGGTGTATTCCTGGTTCCTGTGCATTGCAGCTACAACCAGACGCCTGAAGTTAGCGCTGGCTGCCAGCTGCTTCCTGCCTTCACTGGAGCTGTAGAGCCAAGCTGTCTCACTTCCTCGCGGCACTGTCACGACAAGCAGAGATAATCAGTCTAACAAACGGGAAAAAAAGTTTGTAAAAATCTTGGTGACTAACAAAAGCTCACCAATAAAGATAGCAAACTGGTTAGGCCGTGGTACTTTGGCTCCAGGGGGGGAATCTTGCACGGTGAGGGTGTATCTGGGAAGGCCAGTCTTGGCATGGCAGAGAGTTAGCGTGAGGTTCGAGTCAGGGTCGGTGCTCGTGCGGAGTCGCTTCCTCAATAAAGAATAAGCCTGATACTCCCTCACGGCTGATAAGAGTTCGCAAACTTGAGTGTGACGGACCGGCGTACCATCATCTCCGATACACAGCTCAAGAAAGGGTGTGGGCATGGGCTGACGGAACTTAGTGCAAACCAGCACAAAGACAGGTAGAGCAAAGGAGTCCTCTTCTTCTTTTCTCCCCCTTTCTTCCTGGAGGCAATGGAGCCTCACCGCCCATCCGAGCTGTACGAAGTGCTCCACCGCCAGCTTGATCACACCTTCTTGAGCCAGAGTCACACAGACATACCTTCCTCCAACGTTGAGCACGCGACTTACCTGCAAAGGGAAGGAAACAGCAGTGAGAAAAATGTTAAGACGTGCTTTGATGGTATCTTGTTGGTCAGTTTTAAGTTCGTTCACACCTCATCGAGCATGCTCCTGGCCAACGCGCCTTCCTGTTCAGACGCCATGGCATCCAGGGTGCCCTTATCCAGAGCAGCCTGGTAGCTGGAATCGTCATATGGAGTTTGAGTGGCATCCACCTGATGGAAGGTCAGGCCTGGCCTGCGCACGGCATTTCTCTGGGTCATGTGTGCCACAACCGTTTCGCTTATGTCTATATTAGTCAGATGTTTGAAGCCAACATCATACAGCTGTTCACTGAGCTCAGAGTTACCGCAACCAACCACCAGCACCTGAGGGACAGAAAACACAAAGGCACTTCTGACTCATCAGTGCAATGGACAAGGACATACATTACTTCAACTTGAATCGCTGTTCAGTAGGACCATTTCTAATTTACACACGTATTGCTTATAAACTGGTCAAACCTGAAAATGTATTAAACGAAATGTGTCAAGTTAAAAACATGTCACGTCTCGCGTCAGACCTTCCGTAAAACCCCTGTAACTAATCTGGCATTTAGTGAACGAATACAGCCCTGCTTATCACACATTACCTTATCTTGCATTTTGATGTATTTGTGTAGCACGCCGCACAGTTTATTGTAGTCCCCATACCACTCAAAAGCCCTCTCCCCGCGTTTCTTGAAAAACTTCTCCCAATACTCTGCAGAGCTGAACTCCTCAGCGGAGCGGGGTAAAAGGCTCATGGTCAGCTACCGGGGGTTTGGTGTCACTGTAAAGAATAAGAGCTATTTTCTAGTAATGTTGTCACTCCACATGGCACTTCTTGCTCACTTTTCCATCCGGACAGAGTTTCTCCCAGCACCATCCACCGATTGGTCAATATCCGAAAGGCGGGACTATACGAGGCCCGGTGATTCGCTGAAGCGCGTAGATCTCGTTTTATTGGTTAATACTGAGACGGAAGTGCCCGGTCCGGCTGTTTAGTCCTCCGAGTGTCGTTCATCATGGCCGTTCCCGCTGGAAGATCCGTGGTGTTCGTGACTGGAAACGCCAAGAAACTGGAAGAAGTAAGAGGCGCATGTTTGATGTATGAAACAGATCTTGTGTTTTCTTTCGAGTGTTTCCGGGAGAGTTCTTGAACACATTCTGCCTTCGTGCTGTTGCACACTGTGCTCGCTATATATAGCCCCCAATCGCCCCCAAAGATTACTTTCCCATAAGCAGATCTAAGTATTGTTTTATTTGTGCTTGCATCCATCAGGTCATTCAGATCCTTGGTGACACGTTTCCCTACAAGCTGGTGTCAAAAAAGATTGATTGTAAGTACCAAAGGTACCACATTAGAAAAATAAATTGAAAATTGAAAAAAACACAGTTCAAGTTAAATAATTGTTCATGTATCTATGTTTTACCCAGTACCTGAATACCAGGGAGAGCCGGATGAAATTTCCATACAGAAGTGTAAGGAGGCGGCCCAGCAGGTACTGTCACTGCAATCACTCATAGCTTCAGACATTCATTGACAAAAGTATACAGAAAAACTGAACTTTTTTGTTTTTGCCCCTCAGATTGGTGGACCAGTCATTGTAGAGGACACATGTCTGTGTTTCAGGGCCTTAGGGGGACTGCCTGGTCCTTACATGTGGGTATTCTGTTAAGCTAATGCAGATTTTATAATAGACATTAACTGCTGCTAACTGAGAATCATATTTGTTTTTTTAGCAAATGGTTTCTTGACAAACTTAAACCAGAGGGTAAGTGATATGATAATCATTTTGCTAACAGGTGATTGTTTTTTCTTTTTAGCTGTACAGGAAACTGTGATGTGGGGTATGTTGTTTTCTTTTCCTCTTTTTCAGGCTTGCACAAACTTTTAGCTGGTTTTGAAGATAAATCAGCATGGGCCCTTTGCACTTTTGCATTCTCTGCTGGCAAGGATGAACCCGTCCAACTCTTTAGAGGGAAAACAGAGGTCAGAATCTGTCCTGATAGTGCTCTTCTAGTGTTTATGTCTTGTGTATTTTCTACTCACTATTTCATTAAATACTTGCAGGGACAAATTGTGGAACCAAGAGGCCCGCGAGACTTTGGATGGGACCCCTGTTTCCAGCCCGATGGATATGACAAAACGTAAGCAAGTACAGCTGGAAAATCTCAATTCATACCACAAGATGGAGCAAGAGTACATACATTACAATGTGCAAATCAAATATGGGATATTGCATGAAACTGCAATAATTGAATCAAGTTGTGCCAGTACAATATGTTTTCACTGGTTATTACTCTATAATGACAGTATTAGAAATAGTTGTTTTGTTCTTTGTCCCTTCTCTGAAGTTATGCTGAACTTCCCAAAGAGGTGAAAAACTCAATCTCTCACCGCTACCGGGCACTAGCTGCCATGTCTGAGCACTTTTCACAAACCAACAATACCTCACCTGAGAGCAAGAAGAAGAAGCAGGACGATTAAATACGTATGTTTGACTCATCTGTGTGTTATAATTTAACTAGAGGAAACTTCTTATGACATCACATACTGTCCAGTCTGGAGCACTCTCTATTGCATTATGTCTGTTTTCCTTTATTTTACAATAAACTTCATTTTCAATTTTTAAAGACTTACAACTTGCATTCCCCCTTTATTCTCAGTGACTGTTTTCTTTTTAAAAATAGTAGGAGAACGTTTCAAAATATCCAAACTTTGTTTAGAAGATTGTGGAGACTGTAAGCGATGTAAGTCTTAGTAGTAGTTTCCTTTCAACACACTCCTGACTTTCGGCTTCCAAGGACTGACAAAGATAGACTTGGAAAAGTATTTCTAACTGAGGAGTTCCAGAGTCCTGATGAGAGGAGCAGATTGCTCTGTGAATAGGACAGGCCCCTCGGTTTGGCAGTGGAAGCATAAAGTTGTTCAAACTCGAGTCCACAGAGAGAGATGGGAGTGGAGTTTTCGGAACACATCTCCGTGATAACAGGGGAGTTTGGGTAATAAATGACCGGCGAGCTTCAACTCTCTTAGCGGGATCCATTCAAGCACATGTGACTGATGCATTACTATTGAGACATGTAAATCATGACCTACGTTAGGAATAAAAAAGGGGGTTACAGATGGCTATTTTGACTGCCGTACTAAAGTTTTAAAACATTTAATCTGCTTTTAATCACCATAAATTGAGTTAAACATACCTAAAGGGGCTTTAAATATGTATAGTGACTGACACCACACCCCTGTTTCACCCTTTTCATTGATCTTTAATCTTTCAAGCTCTCTTATTACCTTCTTTTAATCATTTTTCAGAAATCTGTGCATGTGTGCAAAAGCTGTAAGAATGCTACACAACTCACAAAAAAACATTAAACCAGAAGCAACAGCAAATGTATCAGTTAAATCATGGACTGACCAGAACTGGTTCAGACACTGCCATATTTTCAGAGGTTAAAATAATTAAATACTTCTCTAACTGATATAATACTAATAATACTAATCTAACGAATTAGCTGCCTGATAACCTGTGACTTACTTCGAACAAATTATCAACAATACCAGAGTTTTCTAATTCTGGGTTTTTACACACAATAAAGATCAGACATAATTTGTAGCAGTGTGTTACATGAATTATCTTCTTTAGTCTCACTGTGGTACTTGGAAAAAGAACCATTGGGCCGTACAAACTGATGACTACTTGTAAATGTGGTTATTTTTGATGGACTTGGAAGAAGAAACGCAGGTTTTCTAAATCTGGGTGGTGTCCAAAGTTAAGATGTTTGGAAATTTTGTCTCCAGACACTAGTTGTAAATAAAAGGTCATAGAGCCTCATCGTGTCTGAAAGAGGGGAACCTTTTTAACTTAATGACAAACGGAATCTTTTACCCCATGTTGATCCAAATATTTGGGATGAGGCTTTGCTGTTGTGATGCTGTGGTGGTTTCAAGGAATGTGAAACTCTGGGACCTCAGAGAGGAAAAGATGACTGGGTTTATGAGGCCTTAATCCATCATGATTACACCACAGGAAGAAAAGGGTTTGATGTGGCTTTGGGGAAACAAGCTGTTCTTCCTTTTAATTGTTCTACAAGACATACCTGGATTCCCCTACCGTGATTAATTTCACTTACCAGCAGGCTTGCTGTAAAGATATTTCCATAAACAGCAGCACATGTACCTGAAAACAGTTCAGAATGCATACTGTGTCCCTTAAAATCTTATTGGAGCGGTTTTATCTTCAAAGGAATACTTAATAGTAGCCATTTCCAATGCCATAAATTTTATGTTTCACTAAACTTACTCACGAATGAAGCCGGTCCAATGTTTTTAAAGGTTCAGAGGGATGACTTCTTTCCACCCGGAGGCCACCGCTGGGAATGATGGAAACAGCTCACTTAATACATATTCCTGCTGAGACTCGTCCCGTCCTTTCTCTGTTTATGACCAGAGCAGAGCAGCACTGAAAACACATAGGGCTCAATGGGTAGAATTTCCACTTTAAGGGCCTGACATGGACCAGGTATGTGGGATTCCATCTCACCCATAACCATCTGACTCATGCACTGACCTTTGCCATTACTTGTGGTTTCATTGCCACCATACAGTTAGGAATATGGTCATTTGAGACATGGAGAACAAGCCAACTGTCACTAAACAGGCTGAAATACTCTGTTACGGGAAGTTTGTGATTTATGGGTATTCTAAAAGAGCTGCTCTCTCTGAGAGGTCTATAGTCAACCTTTTTCAACATATTAAGATGCTGAAAAGAAAAGGCAATAATCCTTTGAAATAACTAAAATGAAAAAAATACATGCTTTTGAGAGTGTAATAGTTGGGAGACAAATGCAGTTACACGTCCGGAAGGTTTGTTACACGCATTAAATCTAATGTAATATACAACAGAAGTCAGAACCAAAGTGCCTCTCTCTAATGAGGTCTGGTAGTACATGAAGCTTTCCAGCCACAAAATAAACAAAAAGGCGGAGACTAAATCATATCGAACTACCAAAGCTAGAGGACACACCAAATTATCAATGCACAGGAGAGGTAATTCAATACAAAATTTATTTAAATCTGTGTCACACTCAAATGGGATGTTACATAACAGAGATGCAAAATACCAACATGAATTAGGACCGAACTGTGAATAACTGTGAAAGTCCACAGTCCAGGCCGTGCCCTGCGCATGTTTAACCTACAAACCTTAAAGCGTCCATCCTAACAACAGCGACACAGTTCTCCTCCTATAATTAAAGACAATCTGATGACAACATCACAGTCAGTGAAGGGAAGAACAAAAAATCCAATGAATCAGGGCAACATGACCACTACTCTTTCCTACCCTGTTGATTGGAACCTGAACCATTCCACTAGACTGGTTATTCTCGTCTTATTATACTCGTTTTGCAGTTTGAACATGCATCTGATAGAGGCTGAAGGCTTTCAGGGGAAGTCACGCAAGAGGGAGGGGGGAGTTCTACCCAAACAGGCCGGGGTCGTGCAGGGTCAGAGTCTGGACCAGGCGCTGGAAGTCCTGGACCGTCCACGGCTCCCTGCGCGTGTCCGCCGATGCGCTGCTGCTGTCGGGGTCTATGCGCTGCGGGTCGTTGAACGTCACCAGGAGGTCCGTGGAGAACTGCGGCAGCCGGAGCAGGCCCAGGCCGACCGCCACGCCGTTCGTCGCTTCCTCGTTGAACTTGGAGACCTGCTGAGAGCCCGTCAGCACCCAAGCACAGCTGCATTCCGACAGGGACAGCTCGGGTTTCGGAACCTCCACGACGGCGGCCACCTGGAAGCCCCCCGGCCCCAGAGCTTTGTTGCTTCCGGCTATGTCCTCGAAGTGGTACCGGGCTGCCTCCTGGTCGGACACCTGGGCCTGGTACTCCAGCAGCTCCACGATCAGGCTCTGGTCGGTGTGCCGGTGGGCAAACACCTCCTGGTTGTCGGGGATGTCCCTCAGCTCGCTGACGTCTAAGGCGCCGGGGGGGACGACAGCCGAAAGGGCTCCACCAAAAAGAGGACGAGCCTGGTCAGCGCTGTCGCCTGCGGTCTGCATCTCTCCGTGGAAAGTCTTTCAACGGCCGCAGGGACGGAGGAGCGGTCTGTGACTGAGCGATAGACCGCACACGGTTGAATCGATCACTTCGCGACCATAATAACAAACAGAAAACACGAGGACCGCTGACTTTGTACTTAGCGCCTCGGACACGCTGTCTTCCGCCAACAACTTTCTTCTTCTTCACTTCATTTCGGGCTCCAATAGTTTCGAGGCACGCTCTGCTGCCACCTGCAGGCGAAGAGGACACAAGCGCTCCGAATGTTTTTCAAGCTGTCATCCTTACTTAAAATCTTCAGTATCATTTATCATAAACTGTGCGAAAAACGACATGAACTACGTTTTAAACCCTTTTATCCTTTTGCAATTTCTTAACTCGTCTATGACTTTTGCAAACATAGACTGGCGTGAAATAAACCTACATGTACAAAGGACTCCTTTAGTCATAACAAAGCATTATAGGCATTAGTGAGACATTAAAGTGAAAATTAAAACGAAAACATATGTATCGTTATTGCATAGTAAGTTTATTTAATTGCAGGCCTTACTGCTTCCATTTTTTAATGCAGTCTCACTTTATTTAGATTGTCCTTTTTTTTTTATATATTCCTAGATTAATATTAGTGAAGATAACAGAAAAATCTAACCACGACTGTGTGGCACAATGGTACAATTGTTGAACAAAATAACGTGTGAAGAAAGCCTATTTAAATTTAGATGATAACAAATAAAAAATCTAGTACAGAGGCATTTTTTCCCCTAAGATATGGAACATGCGCCAGTCTCTCGGCTCATCCGGTGTTCTGTGGACCTACTTCCTGATCTGCTGATTTAGACGGAGAGACAAGAGGACCGTTAGCATCAGCAATGATGACACCGTCTCTTCCGGCCTTCAAAATGTATCGGACGAGTCTGTAAGACCTTTATAAACGGTAAACACTCAGTATTTATCACAGAGGCTGTTTCAAAGAGTTGAGCCCCGTCAAACACCGGATCTTTTGAAAATCCGCAAGTAGCCGGTCTCGTTAGCATCCTTAGCTTAGCTAAAGTTAGCCTAGCTAAGCTTAGCCTAGCTGTGTGAGGAGGGGCTGTGATTTGTTTGATTAGATGTAATATTGCATGTTGCTTAGCCTTCACATTGATCAGTGCTTTTACATATAGCATTTCTGTGTGAGTTATACTTGGTAAATAAAAATTATCCTCCGATATGTTGTGCTAGGATTACATTAGCAGAGGAGTCGACCAGTTAAAGTAAAAAACAGAAGCTGTGATCTAATGTTTCTTTGTATTTCAGTTAGCCGCAGGGTGTCCATGTCCAGCACTAACTCTTTAACGCTAGCCCTTAAACCAACTTCAAACCATTTGGGATTAAAGCAGAAAGCTGAAATGACACAGAATATAGTTTTTGCCTCAATTGATTCAAATGCACTTCTCTTCCTTTTGTTTTTCTTCTCCTTTTTCCTTTCTCGTAACTTAAAGTTACAGTTCCTATTTCCTAAATCTCATCAACAGACAGTATTTTATTGTGCTTGTCAAGAAGCAGTCATCATTATCTTTCTCTGTAAGATTAATCACAGCCTGAATAAAAAGTAATTGACTTTTTATGTGGATTGAAATAAGATCCAGGTTCTTCTTGCTGTAACTCTTAACAGCTTAGACTTTCTTCTCCTCTTTCTTCTGTGTCTCGTTGCTGCTGTAGAACTGTCTCTCTTCTCTGTTGGCTGCTGTAAGGCCTTTTTCCGATCGGCGCGCCAGAAAAGGGACGCTGAGAAAAGCCACTGTGTCAGACTTAACCGGATTCAATGGTACAAGTTGTGTTGCTGGTGTGAGAGGTGGGGTTTTTCTATGAGCACCAGACAAAGACACCTCCCTTAAGGGGTCACAGTTATGCTGAGGTCATGTTTTTGTTTAGTTTTTTTTTTTGGCTTGGTGTCATAGAACCACTTTATTGAGACACCTGTTTTTTTAATATACAGTCAGGGAAAGCAATGGTGACATTTCCTTGTGTTGATAGCAAGTGAAACTACTCTCATATGCTAAAAAAAACTTTGATATGATCTGTGTTTCATGTAATGAGCAGCTAGCCTTTTCAGAGCTTTTGCAAAGATAAAGTCCACTTGACAAACCGACTAGCACCACTAAAAACCCACCACTTTCTCCCGGTGAAGGAATTGGAGTAACATAGCTGTTGTAGCTTGACACAGGTGTCATTTCATGGATTCCGTCTTCCTTTTTTCCTACAGAGGGAGCCAGACCAGGGGGACCAGCCTGAAGACAACATGCCTCCTAAATTCAAACGACACCTCAACGACGACGAGGTCACTGGATCCATTCGCAGCGAGAGGGTAAGACAGATTGTCGGACAAATATTTGCCTTTGGAGGCACAGTTGAGACACAAATTGAAGAAATGTAATATACATGCTGATAGAAGGAAGACAAAAATAAACAGGCCTCTTGATCTATTCTAAACAGTTCCTGCAGAATTTAGGGACATCGGAGTGCAGGGGTATGTTTCGCTCACACTGTTTATTCTGATTGGAAACACATGTTGGTGTGTAACATGGAGGAAAACAAAAGGTTCCAGGCAGCAGGTTCAGTGGTCGGAAGCCTGACTAAGACCAATTTTTTGGTCCTCATCAAAGTAATTGCATACCCACCTCCTCCGTCTTGCTGCTCACTTTATTCAGCCCAGTTTCCTCCAGGTAATCCTGACTAATTCCCCCCATTCCCCTTCCCTCTGATAATTGCTAACAGTTCTCCTCACGTCTCCTGTCCCGGAGCCTTCACAGGAGCGATAGCGCCTCATTTTATCGAACCCTTTTGAGCATATGGCCAGCATTCCTGCAGCTTTTTTGCACGTGATTTTGGATTTACAGGACTATAACGTCTCCATATTTTTGCCACAGCTATTGGAGGGCAGCTGTGTCAGGACAAAGTATTCCCAGGTATTCCTTCTCTCTTTTGGAGGCAGGAGTGATCAGGTTTATAGAGTGAATCATCCCCATTACAAAATCCTTACCCGTAAACCTGTACCTGGGACTCCAGACTCACCGGCTTCTGTGAAATGACGGCCTGCTCCTTTGAGAGTGAAACGCAGCTGTCCGCGCTAATGTTCCATGAAAAGAGTTTTACATATAGCGTCCTTATTAAAGTCATCAGTAGTTTGGACTTGTTTTTTTTTTATCACTGCCTTGTTTAAAAGGAATCTACTTTCAGATCGCAAAGACTATTTCTCTCATTTGCTTCTCATCCTCAGCATCCTGATGACTGACAAACGGTAGAAGTTTGGGCTTTGGCAGCAGAACAGTCATCACACTACCGATAGACTAATATTGCCTTTGGCCTTTAGAATGCAGTTCAAATGGGCGTTCTTTGTTCCGGAAGGCTCTTATTAGCAGCTGGAGAAGGAAAATAAGAAGAGCCGGCTTCATGCCTCTGTCTGCTAATATTCAGAGCCTGCATAATTGTGTTATCAATCGTGGCCCTTTGAATCAATTGTTTACCTAAAACCGAAGGACTAATCACGTTCAAAAAATGGTTCAGTGTTCCCTCACAGTCCATGCTTGTTGCTCCTGAGGTAACAGATGCTCTCACCTCGGTCGGTTGCTCTGTATTCACGTCTGTCTTTTCCCTTTTGTGCCTCTTGCAGAGGAACCTGCTGGAAGACGACTCGGATGAGGAAGAGGACTTTTTCCTGTGAGTAGGTGTTAGAGATATATATTTTTAATCATACTGGATTTGACAAAATAAGACGAGTTGGAATGTGCTCTAAAAAAACAAGAACAGAGCTGCACTAACTGTTGTACAGTTTTCCCTCTTTAAAACATCTGGTTTCCATGCTATTTCTGTTAGTAAAGAAAAAAAAAAGACATTTGGTAAAAATGGAAAAACATTTTTTTTCACTGCAGAAAATAATCCTAACATTTTTTAGGCCAAAGCCTTAAATGTCACAGTGTTAAATAAACAAAAGAAAAAGAGGAATTATGAACATCCTTGACTTGATAAACACTTTTCTTTTCCAGGAGAGGCCCTACGGGACCCAGATTTGGACCTCAGAATGACAAAATTAAGCAGTGAGTACAGACACAGTCCCTAAAGCCAGAGGCTAGGCTGGTCCAGCCTCTCTGGTGTTGGTGTTATGTAAGTGTGGGCCGATGTTTACCAGAAGCCGCCGGCCGTTCAGATGTTGTGTAAGTGAGGCCACCGTGTGCAGGTTATTGTGTAACCTCTGCAGGAAGTCTCAGTTGCGCTCTTTTTTTCCATATTAATCACCAGTAAGGGACAGCCAGAGAACAGAGGAGGTCATTGTTGAGCCCATCTGGCAGGCAGTCGTTTCCCCATCCCTGTTTGGCTCCTTGCGGTTTGTCCTTGTTGTTAAGCACGTGAAATTAGATGCCGTCATCACAGAGTCCAGGAATGCCTCCTGCACAAGGGTTCAGGCTTTTTATGTGGCTGTCTGTCTGATCCGGGCCCTCTGAAGTCTCACGTGTTTGCAGCAGCTTGTGTTTTTTTTATGTTTTTATGTGTCTGACGTCCTGCGTGTGTGTGTTTTGTTTCTGCTTCTTATGTGTGCCACCTTCACCGAGCTGTCAGCTCTGAAGCCAGATCTGATTTCCCGCAGCTCTGGGTCTTAAACAGTCTTTATTTAGAGGATGCAATTCTCTCTTTTTGCATCGGTTGTGCCTGTTCTGCATCTCCATAAGAATCCTGACATTTGCAATAGGAGCCACTAAAAGCAGATATGTAATATCCAGGCCTATGAGAAGGGCCGGATCGAAGCCTAATGCAGCAGATAGCCTACAGGTGCACGGCACTTTGAAGCTGCAAAGCATTTGAAAGGCGTTTTATGGCCTCCCAGCTGCCAAAGGTTACAAGCCTTTTTTGCCGCACCAAAAGTGAGATCGCAGCCTTTTTCTCCCTCTAACCTGACCTCTGTGGCCCCAGGGTGCAGTCGCAGGTGGACGAGGTGATCGACGTGATGCAGGAGAACATCTCCAAGGTGATAGAGAGGGGCGAGCGCCTCGATGACCTGCAGGACAAGTCAGGTGAGTCATGCCGGCAAAGCCTGTGTGGGTTTTTTGTGTTTTTTTTTTGGCATGTGCTGAACACGTGTGCCGTGTTGATACAAAGTTTAAGCTGAGCCGGGATTCCAGAATACAGTTTTTGCTCGGTAGCAGCACGGACTGGTACCCTGTGCGGTTTGAGCAGCTGCTTCCGGACTGTTTTGGAGTTTGCTTTCGTATTTTTTAGACCATTCAGTAAATCTTAGAGATGGGGGTTAAATGTGTCATGGACCAACTGCGTGTGAACTAAAGCACTAGCTCACACCCCAAAGTGATGGAAATGACTTTCTGATCCGCACCACAGCACCGACACAGACCGGACTTTCCAGGAGAGCGGGATGGGAGAGCGTTCTTTTTTTTTTTTTGGTTTGTCATATTTAAAACAACCGTTTTGAAACGATCTTGGCTCTTTCTTCAATAGATGCGGACATAGTTTAGAATCATCTGTTTTTATTTTTCCAAACGGGGTGATGGATGGCGATAGTTGCATTAAATGGAGTGAAAATTAGAGTGTGATTCAACCTTGAAGAGAACGGGATAATCTCTCAGCGAGGGACGGCACACTGGAAGCAAACGCACCACGCCTCCTAATTAAATCTCCCAAGTTGAGTGTTTTTGGCAGATGTGTCTGAAAGCTTTCAACAGGTCTCCCCTCACTGTCGGCGTGTTCACGACTGTCAGTCACACAACCTCACATGTGTGTGTGTGTGTGTGTGCGTGCGTGGGCTCCAAAGCCCTATAGTTCCCAGCTCTTTGTCTTCTCCAGTAATCAAAGACAAGAAGCCGAAGTCCGTGTGTTTGTCCCCGTCCGTCAGTCTGTCTCGTGTGAGCCACACACACCACGCATGTGCTTCACTTTGTCACGCTGACCAGCTAGAATTTTTTTAAAAAGGCCCAAAAAACCCTAGCTCTGCACCTTTTGAGCACGATCGAGACACTGACACTTTATCTACCGGGGTATATCAATCCATCTTTTTTATTGTTTTTGGGCGCATAATTTTTTTGTTTTGTTTTGTTGCGTGTGTGCTCCACACAGGCCGCCCCTAATAGCTGTCTTTATGTGAGCAGCATGGCACACCGTGAGCAGTACTTTGCGTCTGCCCTCTTATCCTCCCGCAGGTAACCTGTAGTTAAATTCCACAAGATTAACAAGCATCTTCTCGCAGGCCTCGTGCGTGAGCCTCCCTTTGTAGTGGCGGCAGGTCGTAAACAGGCACATGGAGATGGAAACGCCAGGCTCCCAGACCAAAGGGGGGGATGGGGGGGGTTTGGATGAGTCCAGCCGCAGGCCTGGAGGCTTTAAGGCTCCCGTGAACAGTCAGAGAAAGATACTGGCACGGCGAGGAGAAAGCGGAGGGAGCGGGAGGGCAGTGTGCTTCTGCCCCGTTGTGTTTTCTTTCGGAAACTTTTTCATGCCAGCAGAGGTTTGTTTGGAAAGATGGCCCCGCTCAGCCAAGTCTTACATAACAGCAAAAGAGGCTGTCGCAGGCACAGGGTCCAGCGTGGGACCCAAAACCTCGCGTTTACCTCGTGTTGAACCCCTGTTTGTTTTTGTCCCCCCCCCCCCCGGGCCTGCGGTCACGTGACGGCGCAGAGAGCCTGTCGGACAACGCCTCTGCCTTCAGCAGCCGGGCCAAACAGCTGCACCGGAGGATGTGGTGGAGAGACACCAAGGTTGGCGTGCCTGTCCGTTGTTTTACGAGTGTCTGCACATCCAAGTGCGACACACACCCCCACCCCACCCCCCCCTCCCTCGTAGCTCCCATTTGTTAGTTTTTTTTCCTGGTCCAGTGTCTCAAGCACGTTCAACACTTTTTTGTTTGTGTTTGTGTCTTTTCCTCCACAGATGAAGATGATCATTGCCCTGGTGGTGGTGGCCCTCCTGCTGATTATCATCAGTGAGTATCAGACTGTGGACGCGGTTCCAGAAGGAAGGGGAGGGGCTCGGCTGCTTACTTTTTCCTGCTTTCTCTTTCTCAGTTCCAGTTATCCTTCGAAATCGCTAGAGGCTGATGAGGAGGGTGATGGGGGAAGCCTTCCCTCTCTCCTTCCTCCGTTCCCTCGTCCACACACAGCCTTCCACTCCAGCTCGAGGGCACCAGCCAACTCCCCCCCCACCCCCCCCGCCATGGCCTCTTCCCCCCCACGGGGCCCGCCCTTACCATTCCCCCCCTCGTTAGTACAGATCTCATCATTGTATTCCTAAAAACGTCCCGAAACTGAAGTGCAATCAGAGTTAAGGTGTAGTTTATGTCCCTGCTTCCCAAAAAAGGGGACAGAGAGGAAGGTAGTGAAGGAGGGCTCCATTCCATGTCGCATATCACGTGTAAGGTCCTGCCTTAGCCACAGTTTCCTGTATGTTACATCATATATAGAAAAAGGCAGCAGGAAATATGAAGGGGGGGGGTATCTGCGCTGCTGTCTCATATTAAAGGACTGTAACATCCACAGATGAAGCTCTGATGTCTGCCTTTGATTCCTCGTCTGTGCCCTGGCTCTGAAACAGGCTATGAATGTTTAAAGGGAACACTTTCTGAAGCACATTTTTTCTCTATCTGCACGAGGCCAGGCAGCACCCGAGCTTCATCTGTATTCTTTTTTGTTTTTTAAGCATCAAATTCTTTTTATTGAAACAAATTTTTACCCTTCAGGTAAAAATGAGTAAAAAGGGGCTCTGTCACCTCTGTCGCAAAAAAACAAAAAGCACCACGGCTTCTTTCAGTGTACTGAAGAAACATGTCAGACCGAATGTTTTCCTCATAACTCGGGGCCCCCAAAATCTCCAGGACATTGTGCTCGTGGCTGTCCAACACTCCTCCGGTTGATACTTTACTGTCACTCTACAGATGGTTCTGTTCGGTTTAAATACTACGTCAAACTTTTTTTTCCCCCAGCGAAGTCCTTATTCCTGCTCAGTGTGATGCTTTGTATGGTTGCTGATGTCCCCGCTGAGGGAAGGAGTGTATCTTTCTGTGCCGTTCCAGGAGGGGGACCTTAAGGAAAACGCTGTGCTCTGAAACGGGCGTCTGTTTAGCCGTGACTGGAAGAACTCTACATTGTAATCCGATCTTTTTTCTTTTTTTTTGCGTAATTTATTTCAGCTGTAAATATCGTTTCTGTAATTAGGATGTACATTACTAGCTTTGCATTGGAAGATTGTGATCATTTTTGCTCAGAATAAAGAGATTTTAAAGGGCGGCTGCTGAACTCCTTTAATGTCCAGGTAGAATCGGAGGCATTTGTGGAGTTGGCAATCAAAGGAAAGATGGGGTAAGGGGTTGCCATGCCATCCCTCAGGCTTTGGGCACATGGAAGCATCGTCGTGGTTGCAGAGCAATCCAATCCTAACGTTTTTATGTCCTCATTAGCCAGTTGTTTTATCCGGTTGGGACTTAAATGGCATTACACCGTCCCCAGGTGGCACTAAAGCTGGAGAAACTGAAACCCCTGAAGTCTTATGGATCTAACAGACCCAGATGGAAATACACACTGGCAACTCTGCCCTGTGCTTAGCCACAACTACCCAACTCTTCTGAAGGGGTAGAGGCTAAATTGGTCCATTGGGACCAATTTGGGCTTTGTTAATCTATGGCAGATGGCCTTCCGGCTGGGTTGCTTTTTCCCACAACTGGGCTCTGAAGATAAACATTTAATCTTGAGCGTTTGTTTAAATTTCGATCAGGTTGCGGTGAAAGCATCTGTGACATGGTGGTGACATGTAACGTTTGTGATATGGTGGTAGGAACCATAAACTCAAGTTTCCAGACCTTTAAATGTACCGATGGCCAATACATCTTTGTGCGAGGTCTGCTGAAAAACAGCTCTGTTATACGGTGAAAAGTGAGACATTCTTGCCCTTTCTACCAGCACATAAGCACCCACGCAGGCAGGGGAGGATGTTTTGGTCCTCCGTTAGGAGCTCATATTAGGCGACCTCAGATTCCATGCATAGCAACGGTTATGTGAGCCCCATAAAAGTGAGTCACACTCATAAGAAGGGGAATGGACAATGTGCCAGCCAGCATTCTGAAGTCCAGCACGCACCCTCCCCGGTGGGGACCAGTCAGCTAAGGTGGATGTGCTGCAGGCTGGAAAAGGAACGTTTAACAAAGCCAGTCACTTTTACAGCCCTCGCTTATTAAAAAGATTGTAAAATAAACCAAACAAGACATAGGAAATACTCGAGTGATGAATAAAATACAAAATAACACATTTTTACATCATTTTGTCCGGTGGATGATTAGGTATGTCCTTCTTCTTAAGATTAATTCATGCCATATTCAATAAATAAAACCTGCACGAGCATGGATTTTACCTTCTGTTCCATCTGCACATGACCACCCATATTGTTCCTTCCTTTTTAGATCACAGGATTTAAAAGGCATGAATTCTAAAATCCACACATGCATCTATGCACTCTACTACTGGATTGGATGGAGCTCATCCCAGCTGCCGTTGGAAAAGAGAGTTACACCCTGGACAGGTCACCACCGCTCAATCACAGGACAACACGGGGGGGGGAAACTGAATTTTCATTTAGCTGTTTTAGTTCGTGCGAAGATTGAATAAACAAATCACTTCATTACATGCCTGTACGTTCTGGAAACTGTTATGTAATTTATGGATCAGGTAGACGAAAGAAATCCCAGTGTGTAGGATGTCCTCCTCCCATGGATTAAAAAACTGTTAAAAATATTTACTTTTTTTACTGTGGATTTCTGTTTGGCCTCTCTGGATGGAAATTCCACTTTCCACAATTTCCACAAATTCCACAATTTCAACACATTGTTCAAAAATATTGACTCATGTTTTTTTTCCTTTCTGCTGTTAATAATCCCGACAGCAAAAAAACATCGACTCATACTTCCGCCCATGTGTTTTTCATGTCTCTGTTGAGCATTTTCTAATTCCAGCTACAATGCTTGGACTTCCCATGATGCCTCACAAGTTCCACCTATCATTCCGTTTAATTCAACAATTCATTTCCATTTTCTATGTCTGTCAAACACAAATATTTCAACTCTACAAATTAGAAAGATTTTCTTTCTTTTAGGGAATGTGCCTGGATGCCTAAATCCTGAATACTGCTACGGTGTTTTTTTAAAAAAAAAGTCTGCAAATATTGCTTGAAAACGAGAGCTTCCAGAAACAGGAGACATGACATCATCCATTCGACCCCTTGCAGCTCTCTGCCCCTTTCGCCCCCCGGAGATGCCTCAGAGGCCGGGGCCATGCGGGTCAGCAGAGACGGATGGATGACAAGCACGAACACACACAGGCACGTGACGAAAGGATGTGAGGTGTTGGGCAGAGGTCAGGGGAGACTGGAACAGCTCAGGCAGGACGGGGAGCAACGCCAATGCAAATGTAGTTGTTTGGGGGGGGGGCTGTAGGCCGTACGTGTAGCTAGCTGACAAATGAAGGGGTTGTGGTGCAGATCGGGCTTTAAATCTGGGTGAGCACTCACCCAGCCGAGGGGAAACGGTCTGCCTCAGGGTCAGCGTCGGATGTCCAGCCATCACCAAAACCCTCCGACACCAAGAAAGGAGACACCGGCTCCTCAGAGGGGAACTGTATCTAACAAGGACCAGTTCTCCCTGGATTAAGAAAATAAAAACAACATTTTTTATATCCCCGTGGGACTGAGTCAGATATGGAGGGAGACGTTTGATGTGTTGGGTTAGAAAAGTGACCAAAAGGCAGCCAGAAAACTTCTTTCATTGTAAAAAAGAAAAAGCTGCATTTGTGGAGGCTCGGCACTCGGAATTGTGTAAAGAGGAGATTTTTTTTTTTTCCTCAGAAGGATCAGCATCGCTTCTGTTTACTTTTCTCTCCTTTCTTCCCTCCCTCACCCTGCCTACGATCTTCCCCTCCCTCCCACCCTCCCTCTCACCTCTCCTCTCCTCCCTGTTTTTTAGCTTCACCCTCCGCGTGCGTCCCTTCCAGATTGTATAAATATCCGTGCGCTGCCGGGGGAGAGCTCAGTGCTGAGGGCCCGCTCACAGAGGAGCCAACAGGACGGGGGAGGAGAAAGGAAAGCGGCAGAAACAGACTAGGCAACTGAGACAAGAGCCAGAAGAAGAAGGGGGAAAAAATCAATCCTCCCTGAGCGTTGGGAATTCATTCAAGTCTGCAGAAAATAAAACAACTGGACAGAAGAGGCAGGGGAAAAAAAGCTGTAATAGAGTAATCGGTGAGGAAGGGACTCTGTGAAACATGTTCCTCTTTCTTTTACTGAGCGTGTGTGGTCTGCTGCTCCGGGCCGAGGCCCAGGGCGCCGCCTCCCTGTGGAGGGGGAACGACGGCGGCGGGCGCTGCCACTACACCTTCAGCGTGGCCAGCCCCGCCGAGGCCAGCTGCCCGGGGGCCGGCGGCCCGGAGGTGGACGGCCTGAAGGCCAGGCTCGGCCTGCTGGAGGCGGCGGTCGCCCAGCTGAGCGGGGGGGGCGGTCAGCGGGGGCCGGCGGCCGGGGCTCAGCCCGAGCTCCAGGAGACGCTGGAGCGGGTCACGGGAGAGCGGAACCTGCTGCGGGGGGAGAAGGAGCGTCTGGAGAAGGAGGCGGAGGGGCTCCGGCGCAGGATGGAGGAGATGAGGAGGGAGACGGAGAGGCTGAGGAGCAGACCCTGTCCTCCCCAGACCCCCATGGTCCCACCAGGCCCCGCCAACCAAGACAGGACCTCAGTGAGACCCGCCGGTGGTAAGAAATACACCACATGGTTTAAAATACACTATGGGGATCTTTTATGCCATAATTGAGTTAACTTAAAGACATAACTACCAGCTGACAGTTAAGTATGTGTGTTTGTGTACATATATATATGTATGTATGTGTGTATGTATATATATATATAGAAAGGGAGAGGAGAGAGAGAGGGAGAAACAGATATATATAGCAGGTCAGTTACTTAGATTTGTGTGATGATAGTGGCTTAAATGAAAGTGAGAAGTGGTGATACATAAATACATTTTATGACGGGAACACCACGCATATATAAAGTTGATGCATCCTGTGCTTCTGTTTCTGCTTGAGGTGACAAATTAACGTTTCCATCTAACATCAAATGAGCCGACACAATGAACTTTGTATAAAAAAAACCTAAACGGGGACGGTCAGTAGTCACGATGAGGCCACTAAGGCGTTGTTTTGTGAGCGCTTTTGCACCGTAATGCTTTGGCATTACACACAGCTCTGCAGGGACGCTGGGCTCAGGTTCCCCCGCTGCCCGCCCGACATTTAGGAGCACTGGACGCAGGCCAGGGAGGATCAGCTTCATATTTATGGGCAGATCCTCCAGTCTTTATGGCTGGTGTTTCCCCCCAGCATGGTGAGAAAAGTACGAGAATAGCTCGGGGCCGGGGATGGCCGGGAGGCGGGGGCTGGTCAGATAATGTCTGCTCTGGCCCGGGTCTCATCTCCATGATGGAGGTCTGGAGATACCAGGAGTAAGGGCCATGCCTCAGCTTTCTGCACGCCTCAAAGGGTTTCATCTGCCCACTCAGTGGAGCGCAGCTCTGTTTACCCCCGCGGCTTTCCGCATCATTTGCTTTAAAAGCGGTTATTTCCAGCAGCCGTAAATCATTCTGGACCTCTTCCTGTGGGATGCCCTCACCCCCCCCCCCTTCCCCCGTTTCAGCGGGCTTATATACTCAAGCGCACCTCTGCTGAGATGATCTGCTGAGCTCCTCATGTTTTCACCTGCCGGCTGAGGCACACACACCACGCTGACAGGCAGATGTCAGAGAGATCACGGCCAAAAGGGGGACGCCCCGGACCCCGGCGGCAGGAGGCCTAAATCAAACCCTTTTGGCAGGTTTCTGTGCTGGAGTGAAACTCTGCTAGGAAGATTGGTAAAACTCACAACCCAAATGTTTGCCTCTCCAAATATATGATGGCCGGCCGCCTTTTAATGTGGTTTTATTGCTTAAAAAACAAACGGTAATCATGCAAACCTCCCCCCAAATATGAAAACACAAATCCTCAGGGTGACACGAGCTGAGTTTAGGCACATGTGACCTGTGAGGGTGTTGAAAGAGACGAGGGCAGACCCAGAACTGATCCACGTCTTTTCCTGTCAGATCAAACGCACTGTGTTCTTTGGTTAGAAGAGATCTCCTCAATGGAGTTTAGAGAACAGCCAAATCCAGGGTTTAAGTTTTTAGGATTTAAGGAGAAAATGCAGAAAAAGGCTCCGAGATGCAACGGAACAAAAACACCAGGCAAAGGAGGCAGCAGGTAGCAGCAGGTCTGCATTTGCCAAGAGCCAGAAGAAGAAGCCACTGGGCATTTGAAAATAAAATCAATTTCACTGTGCCCCCCCCTCAAAAGCCTGTGCCCCGACCCGCCCCTCCCCTAGTAAGCCATCCAATAAAGGCCCCATGAGGCTAGTATTTTTCTTTAGAGAGGGCTTCTCTTGGGAGGTTTACATTTTTTTTTTTATCTGCGAGGCCCAGAAAGTGAGGAATGATGGAAGTCTGCGGGAAAACCGACCCCGCAGCTGCTCCTGCTCCCCCCTCTATCAGGGAGGAGAACCGCCGGCCTGCAGATGCTAACGTTTAATGCTCTCCGCATCATCAGGCCTCATTACCTGCCTGACAAAAACAACAGGCCCAAAACAGCACATGTGCGATCGCTCTCAAAAACACCAGCTCATGTCTCTCTCATGTCTCAAACGGGGAAAAGCGGAGGACAGAGATCTGTCAGAGGTGGGAGGAGAGGCCGAGCCCCCGCCGGCGCCTCAGGTTTCCCTGGATGAGAGGGTGACAGCAGAGGGGTGAGATGGGGTGTCCATCCACCGACTGACCGACTCCAGAGCAGCTGGGAATCCATTTAGAGGGGGGAGGGGAGGGGGGGGGTCACATTCCCTGCTGTCAGTAGTGACACACACATGTTTGGGTACACAACCTGTAAAGTGGATTATGCGCATTGCTGAGCTGCTACATGTATGTGTGTGTGTGTGTGTGTGTGTGTGTGTGTGTTTAGGCTCCAGTCAGATGTCTCACCTGATGACGAGGCCCAACAGGCAGGGAGACAGCAGCAGCCTGGGGGGTGAGACACTTTCTCTGCGCAGCTTTCCCTTCCCGTAAGCTCTCCCCCCTCATGCCGTCTCTCCGTCTGGTCTCTCCGTCCGGATGCAGCCTGGCAGCACGCCGCGCCGGGCTTCCAGGAGCTGAAAGCCGAGGTGACCGAAGTACCCGCTCCGGACGCCAGCCAGGACAACACAGGTCTCTGCACTGCTAACCTGAAACGCCTCCCTCATTCCCCCCTAAACTTTTAGAAATAGTGCAAAGCCTGACAGGAATCAGACATTGGGTGACAGCGACAGGCAAACAAAAAAAAAGAGAAAAGAAGATTCCAGTAAAGAGTGAAAGATGTATTTCAAACGCGTGCCGCTTTGGGAAAAGTCCCTGACCCTATTAATACAGGGGCATTTGGGGCGAGAATACCTCATACGTGCCACACCAAAGCTATGAGGGAACCTCTGAGTCTCATGTTTATCCCGGGAGTGAAGGGG